AGAGACACACACTGTATTATAGAGAGACACACACTGTATTATAGAGACACACACTGTATTATAGAGAGACACACTGTATTATAGAGAGACACACACACTGTATTATAGAGAGACACACACTGTATTATAGAGAGAGACACACACTGTATTATAGAGAGACACACACTGTATTATAGAGACACACACTGTATTATAGAGACACACACTGTATTATAGAGAGACACACACTGTATTATAGAGACACACTGTATTGTAGAGACACACACTGTATTATAGAGAGACACACACTGTATTATAGAGAGAGAGACACACTATATTATAGAGAGACACACTGTATTATAGAGAGACACACACTGTATTATAGAGACACACACTGTATTATTGAGAGAGAGACACACTTTATTATAGAGAGACACACTGTATTATAGAGAGACACACACACTGTATTATAGAGAGAGACACACACTGTATTATAGAGAGACACACACTGTATTATAGAGACACACACTGTATTATAGAGAGAGAGACACACTGTATTATAGAGACACACACTGTATTATTGAGAGAGAGACACACTTTATTATAGAGAGACACACACTGTATTATAGAGAGACACACACTGTATTATAGAGACACACACTGTATTATAGAGAGACACACTGTATTATAGAGACACACACACTGTATTATAGAGAGACACACACTGTATTATAGAGAGAGACACACACTGTATTATAGAGACACACACTGTATTATAGAGAGACACACACTGTATTATAGAGAGACACACACTGTATTATAGAGAGACACACACTGTATTATAGAGAGAGAGACACTGTATTATAGAGACACACACTGTATTATAGAGAGAGAGACACTGTATTATAGAGACACACTGTATTATAGAGAGACACACTGTATTATAGAGAGAGAGACACACTGTATTATAGAGACACACACTGTATTATTGAGAGAGAGACACACTTTATTATAGAGAGACACACTGTATTATAGAGACACACACTGTATTATAGAGAAGAGACACACACTGTAATTATAGAGAGACACACACACACACTGTATTATAGGGAACACACTGTATTATAGAGAGGAGCACTGTATTATAGAGACACACACACTGTATTATTGAGAGACACGCTTTTGTATAGAGGGGCACACTGTATTATAAGAGCTTTTACTGTATTATAGAGACACACACTGTATTATATAGAGAGACACACTTTATTATAGAGAGACACACTGTATTATAGAGAGACACACACACTGTATTATAGAGAGAGACACACACTGTATTATAGAGACACACACTGTATTATAGAGAGAGAGACACACTGTATTATAGAGACACACACTGTATTATTGAGAGAGAGACACACTTTATTATAGAGAGACACACACTGTATTATAGAGAGACACACACTGTATTATAGAGACACACACTGTATTATAGAGAGACACACTGTATTATAGAGACACACACACTGTATTATAGAGAGACACACACTGTATTATAGAGAGAGACACACACTGTATTATAGAGACACACACTGTATTATAGAGAGACACACACTGTATTATAGAGAGACACACACTGTATTATAGAGAGACACACACTGTATTATAGAGAGAGAGACACTGTATTATAGAGACACACAC